TTTTCCATATGACATAATTATTAGTAAAATAAAATGATATAGTTATTACCAAAATGAAATGCTTACACATCATAAATTTAAATTCAAATATGATATACAACCACACTAGATCCAAAATCTTATTAGGAAGTGTTGTCTTAACAATATTAATAAATTGATTTTCCATATGACATAATTATTAGTAAAATAAAATGATATAGTTATTACCAAAATGAAATGCTTACACATCATAAATTTAAATTCAAATATGATATACAACCACACTAGATGATAAGAGATGTAAAAAAAATAATAATAATAATTACTACTCCATACACAATCAACAAAACAAAAATTACATAATAATAATCATAGCAATTACTATTAAAACCATAAATAGCTCAACTAAAATGAAAAAGATAAATAAATACATTTAGACAAATAGAACAAATGTCTAAGTTCCAAAAAGGGTTTAAAAATATAACTTACCCCTAAAAAAATTAAATTGTCTTCAAGGGACTTGATGGGGCCACAATAATTAAATTTGTTGTGCAGTTCTAAAACTGTTGTTGAGACTTTAGAAAGGGGCATGGACGAGGTGAATTTTTTATTTGTGTTTGTGTATTGTGGTGTTTGTAATTTGTGGTTAGTGGAATAGATGAGCTACCCATACAATAATTTATTAGAGAATAGATAATAGTGTTTGGGCTTATGATGAGCTATTTTAGTGGGTTGGTGTATTGGTTTATTGGGTGGGCTAGCAATAGAATAAAAAATATTTACAAGTTTCATAGTTGTTAAAAAAACTTAGCAGGCCTGGGCTTCAGCCTAGCCCAGGCCAATGGTAAATCCGTCCATGCCTGGAAGGGTGCAGGGATGCAGATGAAGAAGGGTGCGTCATGGTCACAGCTCATGCAGTGGTTGGAGACATGTTGTGCTGCATGGAGTGGAAGAACGAGCGGTGTCTCACAGTCTTTACACACGCAGATAATTCCTGGAAGCTCGTGCCCATCCCTTTGACGGGGAGCTCAAGCATCGGTTTCTGCTTCTGGATATTGGATGGGAAGCTTATGCTGTTCTCAGTGCAGGGAGACCCAGGGTATCGCACGCTCATGTACGACCCTTATGCGAGGCCTGGGTCTGAATGGGGGACATCTCAGATCAGCCCTTCGGGGGCTGCCTCTATTGTAGCACAATCAAAAGTTGAATCTGATTGCACTTTTTTTTATTTATTTTCAATTCTTTTATGTGGACCATATTATGTTTTTATTTCAATACAATCTCTCCCTGACTGATTAATGTGGAACATTGACCTAGCTTCATGAGTTGGAGCAGATTATGTATGTATCTTTTAAGTGTGTATAATCGACAATATACCTTTTATTTACTACATGATGTATTTTCTTCTAGGTGTGGGGTATATTTCTGGTATATTTGTCGCCATTAGTTCATGTAATGTGTTCGGTAGATTAAACTAATATCCTATCTATATGTATTGAAACGCAATTAAGCAGTGGCGGTGGGGTACATGCCACTTTTTTTTTGTCTATGTTTTTTTAATAATTATATTAATAATTGAAAACTCAAAATTGTACATCTTAAATTCACACACAACTGACATCAGAATAAAATCTGAAGTACCCCTGGAAAAATATAGGCTATCAAGAGGGTACAAACTGTCTAAATGCGACACAAGCACCCGCAAAACGAAAGATCTACAAAGTGTGTACAAATAGGTGTTGGGTTCTGTTAGGAACGTCAAACAACATGCACAATATTGAACTTTATCGAAATAAATCCTAACGCAGCGGAATCTATAGTTAGGATATGGACGTTGACCTTTTTAAATTTTTTGCCGACTCTGAGA